TTGAATAAAGAGAAAAACGAAAAAAAAAAAATAAAAAATTTTGAAAAACAACAAATGTCAAAGAGGTTTGTTTGGCAGGTAGACTGCTGCATGTTTCTTAAAAAAAAAAATGAAAAAAAAAACAGTTGAAACAATTTGAAAAATGGATAAATACCATAAGGGTTCATTCAGTGTTTGTCAGGTAGGCTGCTCCATTATTGAGACAAATGAAAAATACAAACCAAATACCTGTATAACACATTTGAAACAAAGAAAGATTGTCATAATGGAGCAGCCTACCCGACAAACACTGAACAAACCTTTATGGCATTTGTCCATTTTTCAAATTGTTTCAACTTTTTTTTTTTTTTTTTAATAAACAGGAAGCAGCCTACCTGCCGAACATCGAACAAACTTTTTTTTACTTTTGTTCTGTTTTTCAAAATTTTTTAATTTTTTTATTTTTTTTTTATTTAAGAAACATGGAGCAGCCAACTTGCCAAACACTGAACAAACCTTTAGTTATAAAAAAAGGGGAAAAAATATGGAACAAATTTGAAGAAAGAAAATGTCATAAAGATTTGTTCAGTGTATGTAGGGTAGGCTGCTCCATTATTTAAAACATCGAATATCATATTGATGTTTGTCGGTGGAAGAACGGATTAATTTGATTTCCATTATTGTCAATGGGAACTTCGTTTTGAATGACGTCAGTTTCACATGATGACCATGGTGCCGGAACAGATTAAATTCGTTATTCATGGTTCCACTGTAAATGACTTCTTTTGAAACGAATGCGAGGCTGTGCATCTCATCTCCACTCGTTTGTGTGGGGGGGGGGGGGGGGGAAGTAGCTCACTGTTTACCTGGGAGTGAGTTCTTAGTTCTATAGCTGATGTAGTGCATACTGGGTCACCTCTCTTCCATGCTGGCTCTGGTGTTCTGCCTGTTCACCTAGTGGTGTGGTGTTTTCATTGATGGAGTCTCCTGTACACTACAGGGTAGCATGAAGCTAGTGTTAAGAGTGCTTGGAGCTGCATGTGCTCAAGGTTACCTTTCCTGGGTTACCCTCTCCATAGATCTTTATCTTCACTCTTCTTCAGGGAAATCTTCAGTGAGCCACAAGGGGCTCGCCCAGAAAACCAGCAGTGAATGTAATGAAACGGCAACTTCTGGGCGAGCCCCAGTGGCTCACTGTTCCCTGTCCTTCCAGGTTGTCAGGTGGATCCCTTCATCTGCTCAAGAACTGGGAGCTCAGCCCCCGGAAAATGGTGAGATACCTCCTCCTACATACCAAAATGAGTGGGGGAGGTGGGGAATTAACCTTGTGTTAGTTCCGAGAGAATTCAATGGTTTACATACAGTAGTTGGGGTAATTCTTTCGGTAGGTTTTGAGGCTTTGTCTCTTTTTGAATCCAGCAGTGGTTGTTTTGACTCACTTACCTTCTGGTTGCCTTTCCCAGTGAGGTGGCAAAAGTAAATGTACTATTTCACATAAACGTACATGTTGTAAACAAAAAATGTCATTCAGTAATATTTATAACTTGCTTTTCGTGTTACTGATTTTTTATTCCATTTTTCAGTTATGTGATAAAATTACAACAAACCTTTTCACAATCAACAATGCAACAAGCACCCTGGATCGGTCATTAAAACAAGTAGGAACGGCTTCAGACAGTCAGCAACTAAGAGATAGAATGTAGGTTAATAATGCCTTGAACCGTCTATAATATGACTACTGTACAGTATAGATTTTTTTTGCAGTGTGTGTGTGTGTGTGTGTGTGTGTGTGTGTGTGTGTGTGTGTGTGTGTGTGTGTGTGTGTGTGTGTGTGTGTGTGTGTGTGTGTGTGTTAGGGAAAAATTTAGAGAAGTAAGTTTTGGAAGGATGTGACTGGTGGAATCTAAGCCCAGGTTAGGAAGAATAAGAAAGATGTGTCTGGAGGTCTGCATGATGGGAGGAGTACCTGCTCTTTAGGATAGATGTATGACTCGTGAGGCACGAGCAGCAGAAATGGAAAATCTTGGATACGTTGTTGGAAGAAATAATACTGTAGTAAGACATGTAACAGTCACAGAAAATATTTAGCGCAATAAGTGTTAAATCATAAGATTAAGGAACTAGAGGTTTCCTTCCTCTAGTTCTAAGTTAGTTTGGTCATGGTGAACAATTGGCTGAAAATGTGTAGTAGTGAAGTGTGTATTGGTTTCTTGTAATCAGGGACAGGGACCGTGTTAGGCTTCTCTAAGTGCTTCTTGTACCTTTAGCCAATGACTGACCATTTCCTAGGTTGTAACCCACAACACTTGACTAACTCTCAGGTGTCTAGTTACTGCTATCTGAACAGTCATCAGGTCTTAGGAAACGTGCCTAAATGTTTTGCTCAGCCTGAGAATCTAACCCAGGACCAATCTGTTGTGAGCCAAGATGATGGACAGACATGGCAAGTGAGTGCAAGGAAGCTTATAACAAGTATTATAATGGGTGATAAGAATATATAAAATAGTTCATTAAAAGAGAGTGAATATGTAAACAAATTTCAATAATAATTCACAGGAAACGTATTAGAAGGGCTTGTATGAATCAGTGAGATGGTGATGGTGTGGATGTTTTGCTGGAATATGGATGCTACAGTAAATGGATAAGTGTGTTTTAAATAACTTTAATCTATTTTTGGAATACAGTAGTGGTACGTAGTGTATTGTTCCACTCCTATTTATTCCAGGCTGATGCCTTCACTCAGTGCAAGTATGAAACTGGGTAATAATAAGGATGATAGCTTTGTTTTCTTGTACATTATATTGTAGAATATTTATACAGTATAGTATCTTCTTGAGGTTATCTTGAGATGATTTCGAGGCTTTTTAGTGTCCCCGCGGCCCGGTCCTCAACCAGGCCTCCACCCCTAGGAAGCAGCCCGTGACAGCTGACTAACACCCAGGTACCTGTTTTACTGCTAGGTAACAGGGGCATAGGGTGAAAGAAACTCTGCCCATTGTTTCTCGCCGGCGCCTGGGATTGAACCCAGGACCACAGAATCACAAGTCCAGCGTGCTGTCCACTCGGCCGACCGGCTACTAGGCTATTACAATTGTCATTAGATTACAGATTACAAAATGACATTGGTTAGATAAGGGAAAATCACTAACCATCAGATAAACAGCAGTGTGGGAGAAAGTAATCAATCACTGATTGTCTGCTCAGCTGTCGATGAGTAATAGACAAAAATGGGTATAAGCAAAGACTGGAGGTGGATTGGTGATGATTAAAAGCTGCTGTTGTTGTGCAAGTGTATTTGGAAGCTTGAGTAAAATGATTCAAATTACATTAGAATTTTTAAGTTTTTGTATATTTTTGCCCATGAATCTTTCTCTTATGTTGCTTCTCATTTGCTGTCTTGTGTTCAACAAATTGTGTTACACATAGTACCCACCATCTTACTATTATGATAGTCTATCATGCAAAATTATTTTAAGTATTTCTGGGGCTCCTTTGGGAATTTGTCCAAAAGTTTAATAGATTGATAGCCAATGTACATTGGCTAAGGTAAATTTACTAAATATATTGAAAGCCATAAAGACTCCTTCTTCCACATTTACTGTACATGTACATTATTTAAAAATCGAGGATACGGAACAAATGCAGCATAATATAAAAATGCACTTCAAATATGAAAGTGAATACCACATGTCCATCACACATGTTTTGAGTTTTGGAACTGAAACAAACCAACAAGATATGTGCATCACGTTTAATTTAAAAACACAGGAAATGAGACATACTACAACATGAATAAATCAACTCGCCAGATCAACCAACTACTATATTCGGCTATATTCAGTCATACTGAAAAAAGTGAGGCAAATGTCTCCATGATGAGGTAAATATTTCACTCACACCTCCACCTGCTACTAACTTCAAGGTTCCTCTTAGTGCTGGTGATGCTACCCTTCATGAAAATGCACACGAAAATCTGCTTTACACACACAAACATACATTCTATCATACACAACACCGCAAACACAAGTAAATGAAACACATTAACATTGGCAAGAATAAAATTGATATATAATTTTTTTTTTAGATTCATACAAGTAAAAGCTAGACATTACATTCCAGTCATTACACCAAACATCTTTAAGGGAAAAGTTTGAGGATTGTGTTTGAAAAATATAATGAGGGGAATAGTGCAAGCATAATTATTGATTCATTAATCTTGTTGCATGTAAACAGTAGAGAGATCAACAGCAGTGCCGGGACAGCCGTACAGGACACAACTGGCTTGCTACGAACGCTTCAGCCTTTTACACATGGTGACAAGCAGAGGCGCATCCAGGCAGAAAGACTACACAATGAGTTCCAAGCAACTGCATCACGCTTTGCTGAAATTCAGAAGGTATGGAATATGACCAATAATGACAAGTGATACATTAATATTGTATTATTTTTGTATATTGAGAGCTGTAGCACAGTGGTCACACCTACTTGTTCCTAGTTTGAGTCATGCACAGTGCAAGAATTTGGTCACATTTCCTTACACCTGATGCTTCTGTTTACCTCAGTAAATAGGTATCTATGAGTTTAGCAACTGTTATGAGTTGCATCCTTGGGAAAGTTATTATATAGCTTAGAGGGACCTTGTAAGGGGGGGTACGAGCTTCAAAGCCTTACCATACAGTACAAACTATTGAAATATGGCCCTTATTGAATGATATACTGTATACATGTTGGCACAAACTCTAGAGTGGATGGGACAAACAACACTTATTACCAGCTGATCACTGGGACATGTAAACACAATATATCCTACACCTCTGCTATCATAGCAATAGCACCACAAATATGATACTGTAGTGTCTGCATTAGTAGTATTGTTGAATACCGCCGAGCGTCCCACTAACGTCAGCGACCTTCCCACTGGGCGCTCCGCCACCAAAGTGAACGAGTCACTGGTGCGCATTTTCTTCCAACTGTCAGCATTCCAATAATATTACCTTTTCAGCTCATATCCCCAGCTTGTTACTTCTGTTGTCTCGTTGAGTTCCAAACTGGTTTCCTACACTTTGATTTTTACAACATGTTCACCAGTCACAGAATGTACTTGGGAAAATCTCTTTACATTCCTGGACTCTTATTTACATCATTTTAGAGGGAAACCTTCTCACACTATAACCATGGACTGCACATGTGCAGAACTAGCTCAGAGGGACAGAAACATCTGGTCATTACAGGTATTTCCTTTCACCTGATGCCATTGTTCACCTAGCAGTAAATAGGTTCCTAGGAGTTACTCAGCTGTTGTGGGTTGCATCCTGGGAGGCCTGGTCGAGGACCGAGCCTCGGGGACGCTAAGCCCCAAAATCATCGCAATGTAAGATTAGTAGCTGGCCACTGGGGACATGGATAAACATAACAGGCTTCCTGTCCTGTCCATGGGAACCCATAAAGTGAACCAAGCCACGGGAAAGCATCACGTGCATTTTCCTTCCTATACAGGTGGCAATAAGTTCAAACAAAAATTTTTGTATTAAAAAAATATACATGTAAACTGTTTGTTAATTAACAATTTTACAGTTGGTATAATTTGCTTGTACACTGCAGAAAGTTGTCAATTTGCTGAGGACTGCCCGACTACCAGCAGATATGGTAGCTGTGGAGCAAGACACCAGTGCCTCCAACACTGACCTTATGATAGCATCAGAACAACAGAGGCAGGCAAAAATGAAAGAAATTCAGGTGAGGTTTCATGTTGATGCTTAATATAATTAGTGATGATGAAACCACACACCAGAAGATGAGGAGACCACAACATTTCAGTCCGTCCTGGACCATTATGAAGTTGATTGTGATGGGAGCAAGGGAGGCACAGGCATGCTTCCCTCGCTCCCGTCACAATCCACTTGATAATGGGCCAGGACGGATCGAAATATTATCGTCGTTGTCTTCTCATCTTCTGGTGTGTGGTTTGGTCAACATATCTTCAGCCATGTTACTGTGACTCATCGTCTGCATATAATTAGTATTAATATTTAATACAGCTGCTTGATTGTATGCTTGAATTGGCAAATTAACATGAATAATGTAAATACTGCACTTGTGCACTAAAACAAGATTAAATTTCTTGCAATAGTATTTCAATACTTCAGAAAATCAGTATTGAATGTAATGGAATGTAATGGCCATAGAAAATTGTATATTATTTCAGTCCTCTTTCCAGGCAGTCAGTTGTGCCTTGTCAGTTTGTGCATACTTTTCCCTGTTATGTCAGATCCATATCCAGGTGCTCAATTTTTGTTTGGCTTTGGTAGCTGGTTGATACCTGGTTGACGGGGTTCTGGGAGTTCTTCTACTCCCCAAACCCGGCCCGAGGCCAGGCTCGACTTGTGAGAGTTTGGTCCACCAGGCTGTTGCTTGGAGCGGCCCGCAGGGCCACGTACCCACCACAGCCTGGCTGATCCGGAAGTTCTCTTAGAAAACTGTCCAGTTCTCTCTTGAAGATATCCACGGTTGTTCCGGCAATATTTCTTATAGTCGCTGGGAGGACGTTGAACAACCGCGGACCTCTGATGTTTATACAGTGCTCTCTGATTATGCCTATGGCACCCCTGCTCTTCACTGGTTCTATTCTGCATTTTCTTCCATATCGTTCACTCCAGTACGTTGTTATTTTACTGTGTAGATTTGGGACCTGTCCCTCCAGTATCTTCCATGTGTATATTATTTGGTATCTCTCTCGTCTCCTTTCTAGAGAGTACATTTGGAGAGCTTTGAGACGATCCCAATAATTTAGGTGTTTTATCTCGTCTATGCATGCCGTATATGTTCTCTGTATTCCCTCTATTTCAGCAATCTCTCCTGCTCTGAAGGGGAAAGTGAGTACTGAGCAGTACTCGAGACGGGACCTTACCTTGAGGTTACCTTACCTTGAGGTGCTTCCGGGGCTTAGCGTCCCCGCGGCCCGGTCGTCGACCAGGCCTCCTGGTTGCCGGAGTGATCAACCAGGCCGTTGGACGCGGCTGCTCGCAGCCTGTCATATGAGTCACAGCCTGGTTGATCAGGTATCCTTTGGAGGTGCTTATCCAGTTCTCTCTTGAACACTGTGAGGGGTCGGCCAGTTATGCCCCTTATGTGTAGTGGAAACGTGTTGAACAGTCTCGGACCTCTGATGTTGATAGAGTTCTCTCTCAGAGTACCAGTTGCACCTCTGTTTTTCAACGGGGGTATTTTGCACATCCTGCCATGTCTTCTGGTCTCATGTGATGTTATTTCTGTGTGCAGGTTTGGGACCAGCCCCTCTAATATTTTCCACGTGTAAATTATTATGTACCTCTCCCGCCTGCGCTCAAGGGAGTACAGTTTTAGGCTCTTTAGTCGGTCCCAATAGTTTAGATGTTTTACTGAGTGGATTCTAGCAGTAAAGGATCTCTGCACGCTCTCCAGGTCAGTAATTTCTCCTGCTTTGAAAGGTGCTGTCATTGTGCAGCAGTACTCTACTCTAGAGAGCACAAGCGTTTTGAAAAGTATCATCATCGGTATGGCATCTCTAGTGTGAAAAGTTCTTGTTATCCAACCTGTCATTTTTCTTGCAGTTGTGACGGCTACTTTATTGCGTTCTTTAAAGGTAAGGTCTTCCAACATGAGTACACCCAGATCCTTTACATTGCCTTTTCGTTCTATGTTATGATTTGCCTGAGTTTTGTACGTGGTTTCCGTTTTTATATTTTCATTTTTTCCATAGCGCATGAGCTGGAACTTATCTTCGTTAAACACCATATTATTTTCTGTAGCCCATAGAAAGACCTGATCTACATCTGACTGGAGGTTTGCCGTGTCCTCTATGTTGCCTACTCTCATGAAGATCCTAGTGTCATCTGCAAAGGATGATACAGTGCTATAGGTTGTGTTCTTGTCTATGTCCGAAATGAGGATGAGAAAAAGTACTGGAGCAAGCACAGTACCCTGGGGGACTGAGCTCTTCACGGTTGATGGGCTGGATTTTATTTTGTTGACTATTACACATTGGGTTCTGTTGGTCAGGAAATTGTAGATCCATCTGCCTATTTTTCCGGTAATTCCTTTTGAACGCATTTTATGTGCAATAACACCATGGTCACATTTATCAAAAGCTTTTGCGAAATCTGTGTAAATTACATCCGCGTTATGTTTGTCTTCCATAGCATCTAATGCCATATCATAGTGGTCCAGCAACTGCGACAGGCAAGAGCGCCCTGTTCTGAAACCATGTTGTCCGGGGTTATGGAGTTGCTGTGATTCCATGTATTTTGGGATTTTACTTCTTAGCACTCTCTCAAAAATTTTTATGATGTGCGATGTTAATGCTATCGGTCTGTAATTTTTTGCCTCTGCCTTATTTCCTCCTTTATGAAGTGGTGCTATCTCTGCTGTTTTTAGTATATCAGGAATAACGCCAGTATCTAGGCTTTGTCTCCACAGAATGTGGAGGGCCTGCGATAGTGGTTTTTTACAGTTCTTTATGAATATGGAGTTCCAAGAATCCGGGCCTGGTGCAGAGTGCATAGGCATACTGTTTATGGCTTCTTCAAAATCCAGTGGGGATAGGGTGACGTCTGATATATGATTTGATGTTGGTATCGTATCCATGAAAAATTCATTTGGGTTATCAATCTTTAGTGTGTTTAATGGCTCGCTGAAAACAGAGTCGTACTGCGTCCTCAGTAGCTCGCTCATTTCTTTGTTGTCATCGGTGAAAGTTCCATCTCCCTTTCACAGGGGCCCGATACTAGATGTGGTTTTTGATCTTGATTTTGCATAGGAGAAAAAATATTTCGGATTTCTTTCTATTTCACTGATGGCCTTTTGCTCTCTTTGCCTCTCCTGGGTTTTGTATGATTCTTGTAGTTTCCGTTCAATTGTTTCTATTTCTCTACCTAACCTTCTTCGCCGTTCTTGAGATAGGGTGCGACTCTCAAGTTGTTCCGCGATTCGTTTTCTTCGCGTATATAGGGAACGACGTTCATGTTCCAATCTGCATCTCTTCCTCTTTTTTCTTAGAGGTATGCGGTTTGAACATATTTCTAGTGCTACTGAGCTTATTTTTTCCAGGCACTGGTTCAGGTTTGCATTTTCTAGCTGTTCTTCCCAGTTTATTTCTGTGAAGTCCTGGTTTATTTGCTCCCAGTTTATCTGTTTATTATTGAAGTTGAATTTGCTGAAATCTCCTCCACCGGGAATCTGGACTGGTTTTGAAGGTCTACTCCCCATGGTTGTCATAACTTCAATTAAGTTGTGATCTGAGTAACAGGTATTTGTAATCATTATGTTCCTGATAAATTCATCATTATTAGTGAAAATGAGGTCCAGCGTGTTCTCCTTCCTAGTTGGTTCTACTATTTGCTGGTTTAAGGCAAACCTGTCGCACATCCGTAGCAGGTCATTTGCATGTGTCTGTTCATTTAGGCTACTTCCTGGTATTCTTTCTGATATTACTGTATTAGCCAGGTGCTTCCATTTCAGGTGCCGTAGGTTGAAGTCCCCAAGCAGGATGATGTTCGGAGCTGGATTTGTGAGGTTTTCCAAGCAGTGTTCTATTTTCATTAGTTGGTCTTTAAACTGCTGAGGGTTTGCCTCCGGTGACTTATATACAAGGACAATAACTACATTTAAAATCTCTATTTTGATTATCAGCACTTCCACCATATCATTTGAGGTGTTTAGCAGCTCAGTACAGATGAGTGTGTCTTTGATGTAGAGGCTGACCCCACCCTGAAGCCGGTGTTTCCTATCACATCTGAAAAGATTGTACTCTGAGATCCATATTTCACCATCATGGTAGTCCTTTGTGTGGGTTTCTGTTAGGGCTGCAAACACTGCATTTGCCTCATGAAGGAGACCATCTATAAATTGAACTTTGTTGGATTTGCGTGTTTTTATACCCTGGATGTTGGCAAATATAAATGATGTTATCGTGTTAGTGGAAGTGCTGGAAGCCTTACTTGGTGTTAATATCTGAGGCTCTGGTAAGGAGGCCACTGTGTTTGCGTCCAGAGTGTGTCGTTTTGGAAGTGATTCGTCCAGTTTTGGTAGTAGGACGGGTGTTGTCTGGTGTAGTACCTGTGTGCTTGTTGATAATTTGAATTCCAGTCTTGTGGGTATCTCCGTTCCCCTCTGTAATCTTGTAGTGGTTCCATCTGACTGTTCCTCTCTCTTATATTTACTACTCTGTTTCTGCCTTCCTCTAAAAAATTTCCAGTAGTGTCATATTGATCTTCCCGTCTATAACGCTCTGTACCTCTCACTTGGAATTCCGGACACTGAAGATTGTAGCATTTTTTGTCCCTAATTGAAAATTGACATAATTTAGGGTGGAAGTATCTACACCCTGTTCCAAAACGGCATGTACCCCTCTCCAGCATGTTCCTGCATTTTCGAGGATGCAGAAAATGGCATTTTGCTCCTAATTTTCCATATTTGCATATTCGTTTAGCGTAGAATTTGCAAATGTGTTCCGGTTTTGCGTTTTTCAAGGTATTTATATCTGTGACTGTCTTGTCTACCTCTTTATTGGAGCCATCTCCGTTTTTCGTCCCAATTCCTTCATCTATGCACTCTGTCTCACTGTTGCTCTCATCATTTATATTATCTGGCTCTGCAATATTGCTGTTATTTTGTACCACAATAGTCTCCTCCTCCACACTACTGCTGCAGTTCTCTAAACTATCTGTTCCTGAGTTTTGGTCGTTATCCAATGTTGACTT